CCCCAAAACCCCAAAACCCCAAAACCCCAAAACCCCTCTTAGAGAAGGAAATATTGAAAATGAAGTAATATTACTCTTGAAATCATAGCATTTACTCATTTAAGATGCAAAAACCTGATACTTTATCATAAATCTTCCCTTCTCTCCCAAAGCAAGATCTTATAACCTTTCCCTGAGTCGTCCCAGCCAGAACTCTGTACAAGCAGATGCTTAGCCGAGTGCTATTCTCAGAGCTTACCACATTTTGTTAATTTGGGAACTAAATTAAGGTAATTTTGTTAATTTAGAAGATTATTAAAGCCAGAAGTTTGAGAGGCCTTCTCATCCCTATTGGCTCTCACTACGGAGAGAATTTTCATATTTGTTCAGGGTTTTTATCACACTTTTAAGCTTGGAAGTTAACTTCCCACTCGCATGCTTTGGGTTAGTAACTTTCTTGCTTGATCTACGCTTCTACAAAGAATTAGAGGAAGGATACTTTTATAGACTTTTTAGAACGTTTAGGAGTAAACATCTTGCTTGATGATCTCTCTTGGCTTTCCTCCTTTTCTTTATCATAAGGCTCATAACCTGATTTGTAGTATTTGAAATATATAGAATTCAGCTTATTAGAGAGTTTATCAGTCAAGATTTCTCGTTTATTTGGTAAATGATTTCTAAAAATAATTAACTTCTCTTCAGATCTCAAGATTGTGAGGCTTACTCCTAAACTTTTATAACACGAATTTACTTTTGGTCTTAATATTTCCCTTCTTTTTGCGTGAATTCTTTTGAAAAGATTGTGTAATTTTTGAAGTGAGGCTTGATTTTAAGGCAATATTCCGACTGCCTTTGTGGGACTGGCTCAATACTTTCATCCCCAAAGCAGATTTGGATGACCTCCGAGAGCTCAGGCCTGTCTTTATATGTCTAAAATATATTTAAGTCCAGCAGTATTTAAAATTTTACTAAATTATCTTTTGAAACGAATGATTGAGACTAATCTTACCTGATGCAGCTGTTAAAAATGCGATTTATTTTTGAAGAAGAGCTGGGATTTGTTCGGAATAGTTGGTCGCTAGAGAACTTAGATAGCTTTGGGTGGTTTTTAAAGAAGGATAAAGGAATTTTGGCAAATTAGAGAATGAGGGATTTGGTGATATGGTTTTGGGGGAAATTTTGAGAGAGGAAGTATGATGAGGTACCCCAAATCCCTTGTCAAAGCCAGGTTTATAAATCTCAAAATCTCCGAGTAATCTGTGCAGAGATTAGTAATTTTTAAGAGAAATTTTAGCGCGGGTGGGTACCTTTTAGAACAGAGTTTTGGGGGTGGCTGGGGCGGAGGAAGTGGTCGCGGTTTTGGAGGTATTGGTGGCTTGGAAGGTTTTGGAGGCTATTTTTGGGGGTTTTGGGGGTGGCTTACCTTTCACGATTGAAGTAGTCAGAACTGTTGAGGGAGCTATTGGGGGGTAAATGGGGGGAAAGTGGGGGTTGCTTACTCTGGGATGGAGTTGAGGGTGATGTTGAGGGTGTCTTCGGGGATATTGTTTGTGTCTGTCCTCTTAGTGTCTCCTGTTATCTTACTACCTGATGTTAATGTTTGATCGTTGGGATAGTCTTGATGCTCTTTTGAACAGTCTTTTTGCTTTTGGAGATGCTTTGATGGTCTCCTTGAGAAGAATACTTTTGGTCTTTCTTTTGAGTTCTGGTGAGAAACATGCTTTTTAAGATTTTGTGCTCAAGCAACTAACTATACAAATTGTGTCTCAAGAACTAAAAGTTTTATTTATACCTTTTTATTAAGCAGACAAGAGTCATTAACTTCATTGCCTTTCTGAGTTGATCCCTTATTTGATCTTCTGGATTTTGCGGCTGAGAATAAACATTTCTTCTCGTTTAATTCTAAAAGTTAAGATGATTCTTGCTTGTTCTTGCTCGGCTTTACTTTGATAATAGTTTTGTGTTTGCCTAGTAAAAGTTAGTAAATGAATCATAAGCTATCTTTTATTGGTAAAAATCTACGAATTACTATTTAAAGCCATTCAGATATAATATTTTTAACTAAAGATCGTCAAAGTTGAGCTTTATATTGATCCCTACATTAGATCATGAGTATCAAAACTTAATATTATCAATGACATAGTTGATTAGTCTTGTCTATCTTCATATTGTTAATGATGCACATCCCTCATACCAACTGCTATAAACCCATAACTATGTTCCCAAACAGACATCACCTCTACTAAAACATCTAAACATCTTCTCAAAATCCAAACTAGACCTCCCAAAAACCACCAGAACCCCTCACCAAGTGATGTAAAACCCCACTTTTAACCCCTAAAATCACCCATCAAGCATCTGCCTTGCTCATCAGCTTAAAACCCGCACTACGCCATCTCTTATCAGCTTCCCATAACACCAATGCCGTAACATAAATATACCTCAAAATTATTATTTTCTCTAATCTATAGTCTTGAACAATCTGGAAGAGTTATCCCAATACTTGCTAACTAAGAGAACTCATAGTTCAAATCTGTAGGTATTCTACCGCTTTTCAGCTGAAGAATTGTGCTATTATGGGATTTGGAATGACTTTTAGGAAGAGTCTGAGGGAGCTTATGGGGAATATGTGTAGGCTTAACGGGGAAGTTTGGGGATATTTAGTATGTGTGAAGGGGTATGGGTTAGGCAAGATTTGGGTTATGTGTTGAAAAATTTGGGAGGAGGTAAATTAATAGGATATGGCTTACTGAGGATTTGGGGTGTTGGGGTCGTCATAATTAGGAGTTATCTGAAGCTATGATGAAAATGGTGAGAAGAAGTACAATTATAGGTAATGAGAAGAGGTACAGTAAGAAGGACTTATTGCAAGGTTTTTGATTTTATTATAAATTTAATGACATAATAAAGATATCCAAGCATAACCAATACTAAAAACACCATAAACACTCATAAATCAACCATCTATCACCTCTCAACCCTTTTAAACCCTTAAATCCACCCACTTACATCTTAAAAAATTCCAAAAAATCAATTAATTATACTAAAATCGGGGTTTTGGGGTTTTGGGGTTTTGGGG